GGCTGGTGCGCTGTAATTAATGGTAATAAAAACAGATACCCCATGAGAGAGAAGTGCCAAGCCAGGAATCCCTACCCCCAGATAGAATTTCTTACAGGTAATGGAAAGAAGGAGGAGGAGGAGGGAAAAAAAATCACTTTTTACAGGAAACCTGATCTATCCTTGCCTACAGAGGATTTCTAGAGAGTCACTAAGGAAATGCAACTAAAGACAGCAGCCCCAGAAAAACTTAAAGTAACTCTACTTAGAAAACTTTCTTTTCTGCAATCCATGGGAAGCTGGTAATGCTATAGGCAGACAGACCCGGGATTCTTAGAAGCAGAGTTTAGTCTGTAGCTTTCCATACCAAAGGGTTCTGGTTAAAGGAAGGCATCCAGCTCTGAGACTTTCCCTATTAGGAAGGGGAGGGCAAGCAGGGGGCTGGGAGAGAAGAACCGGAGGAAAGCGAGGAAGAGGGCCCTTCTCCGATTGGCCTGGTCACTTCCCACTTGTTGCTGTCAATCAAACTCCAATAGTCCTTCAGGCATCTAGTTTGCTGGGCGTCCAAACAATCCAGGGGAAGCATGCTTCGGAGAAAACTCAGTGCCTGATCCCCAAGACTCTTTGATCAGACCTTGTGTGGCAACCTATTGTTGTTCCTCCAGCCCTGTGAGTGTCGGCAGCACTCCTCACCGACGCGTTACATTTTGCGCGCCTTTTGTGCCAGGTCCTCGGTGTTTGGTTAGTGCTGGCAGTAGGGGGTGAGGACCGAGCCGTCAGTTGATCCTACTAGGGGTGCTGTCTGGCTTCATTGTAGGGGCCATGAGGAAACAGCTAACCCAAACGCAGACCCCAACTCGAGGACCGTCCCCGTAGGAGCGCTGGCGCACAGACCCAACAGTTGACCCGACAGCGACGCACAACCGCAGTATGGTCCTGCAGAAAAACAACCCGCGCGGTAAACATCCCGCCAGCAGATTGCCGTAGCTTCCTGAATCAAAAAATGCAACCCCCACCCCCACCTCACATTACTCCACGGGATGCCTGGCTTGCCATGCCCGATCCCACTCCCATCCTGGGGGACAAAGGAGCCCAGGAGGCACCCGGGATGGAGCGCAGCCGCGGCCCGGCCCCAGCGCTGGAGGAAAGCGGCCAGGCTCCCGGGCCTGGGTCTCCGCCTCCAATCCTGGCACCACCAGCACCGATTGGCTGCTTTGCCGGCCCCCAAACGGGCCTGGAGTCCGGGTGCTGGCTCTTTTCGTTGGAACAAGGTCTCCTGTGAGGCTGCGGCCTTCAAATCGTTTTCTTTCTTGTAAGGAACTTCAGACCGCCGCGAGGGTCACCATAAGATCAGAGAGTGGAAGCAGCAGTGCCCCCGGCCGTGTGCTCCAGCCCCTGGGGCCTGTGACCGCGCCCGTCACGTGCAGCGCGGGTGATACCCAGGTCCGAACACTTTCGGAGGACCGGCACCGAGCCCTGCGCCTGAAGCCGTGCCCTGGCTGGCCCAGCGTTCAAATACTCAGGTGGGCTGCACACCCGCGCCTTGACCTAACCCCAAACTTGGGGAGACACCAAAACCTGGAGGGCCCTGGAGTTTGCAAGTGCCAGGCTGCGTCTGCCCCTCCGCAACAGACCCAGAGGGTGCCAGAAACAGGTGGACAGGCGCAGGGAGCCTCACTTTGCCAGTCCACTTCCTACGAACCGCGGCGTCCGGATCGCGGAGGGCTGTCATATCGCGGTGAGCACGCAGCAGCAGAGAGGACCAGGAGCCCGGAGGACACGCCCGGAGCTGCAGGGCGCAGGGGACCTGGATCCCGTCCAGGACGCCCTGGAGTCCGGCCGCGCAGCGCCCAGGCCGGAATAAGTTCTCAGCATCTCTGCAGACTCTATAGCTGAAAAAAAAATAAAGGTTAAAATGCACACGCTCCATTTCTCCAGTTTGGCACTGAAAGCTGGGTCACAAGCAAAGCTTCGGATTTGACGGCAACAAAGGCCATCCTGTCCAACGACCTTGGAAATGGCCAAGAAGTGTCTCCGCTCTGAAACACCCCGTTTCCTCCGAAATGCTCCCAGTCCCAAGCGAGGGAAGCCTTTGGGAGGCTGGTGCGGTTTCGCCTTTCCTCCTGAAGTCCCGCGAGTGCACGCACGTGCCTAACCAACCCGGCTGGTTAATGGCGAGTTAGCAGTGGAGGCCTTGGGGATCTTTCCTGTGAGTTTCCTGCCCAATTCCAGACAAAGGCTTCAGACTGTCTCAGAGCAAAAGTTAAGGGCAAAGTCACACTGTCAGCGTGAGATCATTGAGAATACACACCCATCCCTGCTGCTGCCTTCCAGAAGGCCTGACCTGCCAGGGCACTTCCAGACAGCTTGGAGGGGCAAGGAAGCATTGCGGTAAAACCCAGATTTCCACAGACTTTCGAATTTTCTCCTTGCTGGCCAGGAGGCTGCTTTGCTGTGCTTGAAGAAAAGCTTTGCTGTGCTTGAAGAAACATCCCTGCAAAGCTCTTGGATGTGGGCCTTAGGGGAGGAAAGAGGACCTGAATTCTGGAGACGGGTGTGGCACTGACCTTAGGGCCACTGCCAGCCACTCAAAGGCCTCCGAAACAACCCATCCAAGTGCTAGGACAGGGAGCATTGAGATTGTCTTGGAATCAGGCTGGTATCTATCAAATCCTCACCTGGCCACCTACCACATGTTCTGTACCATGGCAACGATGTAGGAGAGGGGCAGGGAGACACTGAGGACACCCTAGCTCAGCTCCTAACCTTTTAGGGCAGACATCCAGCGGCCCCTACTGTCAAGATATTCTGGCCTAGACCTCCTAAAACTGGCTTTTGCAAACATGGGAGGAGGGGATAACTATTGGCATAAAGACACATACCTATATATAGAGTTATGGTGCTCCAGGATTTCTGTTGTTGCTGTCATATGCGGTTGTTAACTGCACATGACACACACTGTGTTGTCTGAAGTAACAAGTTGCCTGTCTTGTACTCCTGTGTCTCAACTGCTGAGTGTTACCTGGAGGCTCCTGGCAAGTTTGCTGTTGGGTTCAAGGTCAAGAGACCACAAAGGGGCAGCACTGGAAGGGACAGGGAGTCTTGTTGCAGGAAATCTGCCTTCACTGACATAAGCAGGACCCAGTCCTGGGAGAAGTTCAATCTTGAAGCTCCAGGAGTCAAAGGAGCATATTCATGGTGAAGGCTGAGGCTGAGGTGACAGAGATCACTCGCCTTTTCAAGGTTAGTGTTCTTAAGCCCACTCAGGCCTGGACCCAGGAGGTATTAACACATCACCCAGGCCTAATTGTGGGAGAAAATAAGGCTGACCAGACTTGGAAGTAACTGCTTGGTCCCACTTACCACACCCAACAAGTGTACTTCCCTTCAGAAGCCTGCTTGATCTCCCTGAGATCAAGTAACACCCAAGGCCAGGGCTAGGACCAGCCTGCCAGTTGAATCCTTTGACCTGGGTGGCTGAGAAGCAGTCTTGGGAAAAGTAGGTTGCCCTTCTTTGGAGGTCTGCAAAATGGCCTTTAAACCTTATTGTAATCACCATATACTCTTCCCCAGGCCTCCCAGGCTCCTCATAGCTGACTCTGGAGCTATGGTCCCTCTCTGCTCACAGAGGGATACTCTACAGATGCCACCTGAATTTCTGCAGGTAGCTGTCCTCTTGGCAGTAGCTTAGAACTTAATTTTTTTTAGCCCCTTGGCATCAGTGCAAGGGGCTAAGTCCTTAGCAGCTAAAGTCTTAGGGGAAAGCCCTGGAGCTCCACACACTCGTGCTCACAACACTTCCAAAGGGCTTCCAGCGTGACAGAGCACAGGGAAATTTTCCTGAAACCCCGCTGAATAATAAATATGTGCCTTACCCCTCGACATCAAGCAAAGTCAAAGTTTGAAACCAGGGCTATGAAGTACCACTTCAGTGCTCCTAGCACGATCTCCCTAGAAAACTTAAAGGAATGGGACCAAGAAATATTCCATAATCCTAGTCTGAGAGCAGAGCCAAGGATCTGCTGGCTGGGGTCCTAGTATGAGTGGCACTGGAAGCTCCCTGCCAGCAACAGCTGAGAAGGAAGAGGAAAAAAAGGAAGCGGAAAGGACAAATTGAGGGGAAGAGCTGAGCCTGAGGCTTTTCAAAACCGTAGGCCAGCAGAAGCATCCCTCACTCACACCTCGGAGTTCCCCCTTCTCCACCTGCGCTGTTTTTCCAGAGAACCAGCATCGCGCTCTAACAAACTAACAACAAAAAAGAACCTGCTTTTTTAAGGCCCTCATTCCGCAGCTCGGCTACCTTGGATTCCTGGACTGATGAGCCAGGCGCCTGAGCCAAGCCGAGAGTCGGGGTGGGGGTTCTCTGGGTAAGCGCTACAGCCGTCTACACCGCCTCCCCTCAACTGCCGGTGCTCAGACTCAGTGCCCGTGCCACTGAGACCATACGGAACTTCCAGGAGCTTTTTGGGCCCTGGGAGCCGTGGGGTTAAGTCTGAGTCCCCGCCCGGAGAGGAGCCGAACGCGCAAGTAGGGGCGGTACCAGCAGCAGGGCAGTGAGCCGGGCTGGGAGAGGGAAGAAAGGCGGGATCCTCCGGGAAGTTGATTCTCTGGTGTCCGCCTGCGGCCACTGACCCTCCCTCCCTCCTCCCCGACCCCCGGTTTCCTCCTCCTTTCCGTCTAGGACCACTGGGGTCCTCAGTCTGTACGTGGGGGCGGGGAGCCGTCAGCAGGAAAAGCCCAGTCTTTGAGCGGCGCCCGGGCACATCCAAACTCTTCGTCCCACTGGGCCACTCCGGAGTCTCGTCTGTCCACGAACCGCGGCCTGGACAGAGACCCGGTGACCTAGGTGAAGCGGGGTCCACCTGGTGGGGCGCGAGCCAGGCTGCAGCGCCGCCCCTTACGGAACACTGCCCCCCGTTTCTTCCCCCGGGGGGCTCTGTCTCGTCCTCTCCCTCCTTTTCCTGCAGGCACCCCCTTAAACGGCCCTCCGCCTTCCCTCCTCCCCGCCTCAGTCCGCCCCTTTTCTTCTCCCCGGCCCCCACTCCGCCCCCTCCGCGTCCTCCTCCTCTTTCCGCACTCTTTGGGCGTCCGCCCCGTCAATCACCGCCGCCGCGCCCCCGCCCGGCCCCTCTCGGCCGGCCCAGCTCTCCGAGCGCCTCCGGGCTCCTGTCTCGGGCCGCCCTCCGCCGAGCGCGGAGCCGGGCGATCTGTCAGCGGAGCCTGCCGGGGGGAGCCGTCCGGCCCGCCGGGGCTCGGGTTACCGGTGACTGACAGCGTCTCCATGGCGAATAATTCGACTCGACTATTGTCTGGCGCGGGCAGGCCCCGGGTCAGATAACCGGACCAATCAGGGCGCGGGCCGCCGCGCCTCATGCCCGCTTAGAATAATATTATCAAAAAAGCTGCGGGCGAGCCGGACGGGAGGGAGAGCGAGAGAGGAGCAAGCGAGGGAGCGGCGGGCGGGCGCGGAGCATGCGGAGCGGCGCCCCGGGCGGCCCCCGGGCTGGGACGGGCGCGCGGGCGAGGCGCGCGGGCGGCGGGGGCGGGGAGCGGCCAGGGCCCCGCGGCCCGCACGAGGACGCACGGCAGTGACTGCGACTCACCGCGAGTGAGCGCCGGACCGGGGTCCGCCCCGCCTGCCCCGGCCGGGCCCGGACGGCTGGCCTGAGGCGCCCATGCGGTGCTGCGCGGCGCGGTGAGGGCGCGCGGGGGCGGGCGGCGCGCAGCCGGCACCATGTCCATGCTGCCCACCTTCGGCTTCACGCAGGAGCAAGTGGCGTGTGTGTGCGAGGTGCTGCAGCAGGGCGGCAACATCGAGCGCTTGGGCCGCTTCCTGTGGTCGCTGCCCGCCTGCGAGCACCTCCACAAGAATGAAAGCGTGCTCAAGGCCAAGGCGGTGGTGGCCTTCCACCGCGGCAACTTCCGCGAGCTCTACAAGATCCTGGAGAGCCACCAGTTCTCGCCGCACAACCACGCCAAGCTCCAGCAGCTGTGGCTCAAGGCGCACTACATCGAGGCGGAGAAGCTGCGAGGGCGGCCCCTGGGCGCTGTGGGCAAGTACCGCGTGCGCCGCAAGTTCCCGCTGCCGCGCTCCATCTGGGACGGGGAGGAGACCAGCTACTGCTTCAAGGAAAAGAGTCGCAGCGTGCTGCGCGAGTGGTACGCTCACAACCCTTACCCTTCACCCCGCGAGAAGCGAGAGCTGGCGGAGGCCACGGGCCTCACCACCACGCAGGTCAGCAACTGGTTTAAGAACCGGCGGCAGCGAGACAGGGCAGCCGAGGCCAAGGAAAGGTACGAGTAAGTAGAGCTCCGGCGCCGGCTTCCCGAGGTCCCAGGGAGGGGGGTCTCAGAGCGTCTGCCTCTCCCGGGAGAGGTCTAAACTGGACACTCCAATCGCAACCGCAGTGCGACTGCAGTCTCGCCTGACTCAGCTAGCAATCTTGTTGGAGAGCTATCTGGCCGGGATTTGTCTAAAGCGGGCAAAGTGAAGCGCGCAGGAAGTTGTCAACTAACTTCCTGGTCGCTATGGACAGAAGAGGAGATGCAGCAGGCTTGTGGGCACAGGCAGGACTGTGGGCCTGAACCCCAATAAGGGAGTCTCATCAGGGTAGGCCTGATCGTGTTTTGTTTTGTTTTGTTTTGTTTTGTTTTTCCGGAAGGCCAAGGACGGTGTTGGGGCCCAGGTATAAGGGCATTGTGAAAATCTGGCTGGCTGTGTTTCCTCGATTCTCCTTGATTTTAACGTCCAAGCCAACATATGATTAGGGGTCAGGCTTGGGCTGTAACTTCCCTAGGGTGGCCTGGCTGGAGAAAAGTGTGGGCAAGGATGTGGGAGTTAAGCGGCAGTCCCTAATTCTGCATGTAAAGGCCTCAGGGAAGAAGTGTCAGCTCTGGGAGAGAAGAAAAATACATGCCCCTCTTTTCTGCCTCGATGGACCCTGCATCCCGTCCCCGGTTTGTTAGACCCTTGACTCCTCTCTCCTTGTTAGGTGAGTAGGTCAGTATGTCTGAGAGCTTGAAAAGGAAGATTTAGGAGTGTCTGTTCTCAGGGAAAGCAGGCCCTTCTAAGCTAGCCTAAAGGTTTACCAGTGGGCCATGGGGACTGCCTTCCCTATAGCCCCTCAGAACTTCAAATCTGAACAGGGCAACGGGAGGGAAATAGATCATGGCACCGAATCCAGCCTGGAGGTACAGCAAAACCGAACTCTTGGGGTTGGCGGTATGGGATTACGTTCAGTTTAGAGTTTAAATGATCCGGGTCAGAGGTGGGAGTGCTGGACCGCAGAAACAGATGGGGGGGGATGTGCAGACCAGAACTTGGTGTCTGAGACCTTGAAGCTGTCCACTGTGGTCTCATGTGCCAGCCCTGAAGATTCCCTCCAAAAAATTCAGCAAGAAAAAGCCTGGGAGAAATCTCAACCTCTCTCGCTCTATCTATCTGTCTGTCTGTCTCTGTCTCTGTCTCCCTATCTCCCTCCTGCACAGGACTTCAAATAGCTACATCTAGGCAAGGATGCTGAGTTCTCTCTGTTGGGTTCCCCTCCACCCAGACTGGCATGAGTCCAGACTCTGGAAGAACTGTATTCTCCCACAGGCCCCCGGTGAAAGCTATAGCTTTCATTGCTGTGTTTCTGGTTATGATGGGAAAGGTTAGTCTAGAACTACTAGCTCCTTCTTTCCTTCCTTCCTTCCTTCCTTCCTTCCTTCCTTCCTTCTTTCCTTCCTTTCTTCTTGCTTCTCCAGGGATCTGCCCTTCACACACCAGCTTCCCATCCATGGCCAGTGTTTGGAGTTACCACTATGCCACCAGGGAAAGAGAGGCCTCTATCTTTGGAGCCTAGGCCCTAGACCCAGCAGAGACAGCCCTCCCAGGGCCTTCCCAGTTTGGATTTATGGGAAAGAACCCTCAAGAGCCTGTCCCTAGCCTCAGCTGGGCTTCCCTTCATGCTGAATGAAGCAGAAAGAGAGGAAGAAGGGTAGATACTCAGTTTCATGTAGGTCCCTCAGCCCTGGAGTTAGGACCTCTCATTTTCCTGGCCTTCCTACCTACTCACCCCAAAACTCCAGGCTGCCTTGTTGACCTGCCTCTTTTCCAGCAAAGAAATGAGGATATAGAGCAGGAAATATAATCATAGGATTAGAGTACAGGTGGGTATAGGTACAGAAGAGGAACAAGACAGATATAGTGTTTAAAGGTTGTGAGGACTGGCAGAAAGGATTATCCGATGCCAGGCGAAAAGCAAAAAAGATAGAAGTCAAAAACTAACAGCAGCCAGTGCACAGCAGCTGCGTCTGCTGAGTCAGAGAGGGCCAGGCTGTGGCTGTAGGCGAGATGATGCCCAGCAGCCTCGAGTTCACTGCTGACCGCTGCTTTGCTCCTGCACTTGCAGGGAGAACAGTGAGAACTCCAATTCCAACAACCACAACCCTCTGGCTTCCTCGCTCAACGGCAGCGGCAAGTCGGTGCTAGGCAGCTCTGAGGACGAGAAGACGCCGTCGGGGACCCCAGACCACTCCTCGTCTAGCCCAGCGCTGCTGCTCAGTCCGCCGCCGCCCCCGGGGCTGCCGTCCTTGCACAGCCTGGGCCACCCTCCGGGCCCCAGCGCGGTGCCCGTGCCCGTGCCCGTGCCCGGCGGAGGCGGCGCGGACCCCCTGCAGCACCACCACAGCCTGCAGGACTCCATCCTCAACCCCATGTCGGCCAATCTCGTGGACCTGGGCTCCTAGAGCTCTGCCGCCTCCGCGCGCGCCGGCCTTCCTCCGGGCTTGGCGCTGGGGACCTGCGAGAGGCGGTGCCTGCCGGAGTGCGCCCGCGCCGGCCACTGCACCAGGTATTGAAAGACCGGCGCGCAGGAGGAGCAGAACCCGCGGCCGGGCAAAGCGGACGGCTCTGGGTTCCGAGTTTATTTTTAACACCTTGCTTTTGAGATCCTAGGGGCCGGGTCTTCAAACAGGGAAAGGAATAAATTATACACCGTCCTGTCTCTCTTCCCCCTCCTCCTGCTCACTTTCTTCTTCTTTTTCCCCTCCTGTCTCCTTCTAGATTTCTGATTGTGCTCGCTCCCGCGTCCCGCGGTCTCTGGCACTCTGTGCTGGCCTCTCAGTCTGTCCCCTCAGCCTTTCTGCCCCCTCGCAGCCCTTACTTTCCCAGTGTTGAGGAGGAAGAAAGCAGTCAGGCGCCTTTGAGCTTGGGCCTCTCCAAGGGCTCTCCCTGGGGCCCCACCCGTCCGTGGGCGCTGCAGGTGTCAGCTTTTTGCCTCCTAATTTAAGTGAAAGGAAGTAACCCCAAGGCTCCCGCCGCTGGCCGCTGGCCCCGGGCGAGGCCCCCCGCGCTGCGCTCTCCTCGGCCTCCCCGGACTGTGCCCGCCGCGCTCGCTCGGGGCAGAGCGTGCCTTCCGAGCCGCGGACTTGCCGTTTCTCTGTCGTGCCCTCTTGTGAATGTTCTTCGGGAAATATTTCTGCTTCTATTTTATAATAAAATTAGAAATCATAAATATATATATGATTATATGCCACGAGATCTGCAAGCCGGGAATGCAATAGTGTGTGATTTCCGCCCAGGGAACTGGGCAGCGCCCGGCTGGGCCGTTCTGAGCGGCGACTTGGGCGAGGCTCTGGAAGACGCCTTCTCACTGCAAACCGAGAAACCTCGGTCCCTAAGGATCTCAGTGCCGGAAAACTGTCCGCAGAAGCCGGGAGGGGGCGGCTGGCTTCTACCCCACAAAACCTGCAGTGGCCTCTTTTTTCACGTGGGGGACCGGGATGGAGGTGAGAGCCTGCGCGGTGGGCGCAGGTATCTGAGATTGGAATTGCAGAGGCTGAGAGCAAATCCTGCCGCTGAATTTCGAGTTGTGGTCCGATTGCGGAAACGGTGGGAGGGTGACCCTGCACTGATTCGCTTGCTCTAGGGGCAGCTGAGACTTAGGTTCCAGGAGTTCGGGCCGAGTGACAGTGGACAGAGTTCTGTGTGTTCACAAACCTTCGCTGGGCACGAAGGAGGTGAAAGAGGGGAAGATGTCAGAGGAGACAGGCAGGAGAGGAGCAGGCGACCCGTGCAGTAGATGGGAGCAAGCGGGAGCTTGCGTTGGCAGGGGTGTATGGCCCAGGAGGTGCCTAGTGTACCCCGGTGTGCTACAGGTGCGTCTTTAGCTGATGATTAACCTACAGCGCCGCCTCCCTTCTGGGGTTCCTGCCTCCTTTTGGGCCAGGCTTCCAAGGCAGCTGAGCAGATTATTTGAGGATCAAGTTAAGGTTTTTCAGTATGGATTTTAAGTGGTGGCCTCTTCTCCGAAATATATATCCCTTTTCCGAAACCAAAATGCCAGGAACGGAAACGATAGAATGCTTGAGAGCCTAGATCCCTGGGACTTCTTAGGACTTTCTTTTGGGCAAAATTAGGGCTTCCTGATGAAATGAGGTAATGTCAGATGATCTTTTCACTCTGATTTTTTTAAATATCAAAGATTTCTTCCCCCACGAACTCAGGTGGCTTAACAGCATTGGAGGCTGCACCTGGAGGTCAAGGGGATGCCTTCTAGGCTAGGACAACTCAGCCAGGCCCAGCTCCTTGCCTGTACCAGCACCCAATGCCCCTCCAGTTTGGCACTGCAAGAGAAATTCCAGCTCCAGCAGTTTACTGGTTTCTCTTGGAGGCACCGCTTCCAACAGCACAGGTCTGTCCAGGAACAATTTAGTGTTTGCAGGACCTGAGGGCCACTGAAAGGGTGAAGAGGACCTGACTCCAGTGATTTGGAGAAGCCTTCTTGTGTCAGCCCAGCTGGCCAGACTGCTTGGAGTGTCCCTCACTGTGCCAGAGCCCACTCTTTGTACTTATTCTAGAGTGAAAGAGGGAAACCCAGTAGCCTTTGGGCCCACGAATCATCCCTACTGCTCCCATTTTGCCATCCCACAATCAGGGGAAATCAGGCTAGTATGTTTCACATGGATATGAACGTACATACTTAATTTGATTCATGATTTCTGAGTGCCTGCTATGTTCCACACATACTGGGTGGCACCAAAACTTCTCACCTTATCACATATAGTGGACACCTAGGGAAACCAACACTTGTTACATACATGTTTCCAACTTTGGGCACACAGCGGAACATAAGCAAACACACAGTCCCTCAGTCCATTTCCAGACACATACCTGTCCTCTGGCCGTCTCCTCTACCGATATATATGTGAACATCTCCAAGCTCGTGTACACACACACACACACACACACACACACACACACAGCACAGGTTCGTCCCCCAAAAGCATGCAAATCTATAACCACACTTTGAGTGTCCTTGCGCTCCGACTTCCACCGGGAGGACCTCAGCACCTAGCCATTCATCCAGAGATGACTCCAGCCCCAGGTGGCAGCCCATCAGAGATTGAATCCAGCCATCCCCTCTGATGTCCACCCAGGTGGGATCCTTGGAATGTCTAGTGCTTACCTGCAGCTCTCACTTGCCAGTAGGGGGTAGAGTTTCCTGTCCTAAGGATTTCTTGTGTAAAGCCAATTCTGCAAAGTGGTGCAACTTGCTGCAACTTCCCTCTTTCCTCTTTGGACAGCTAAGCCTGAAGACATTTTTTTTTAAATTGGGAGAAATTATGCAGAAGTTTTGAAAAATCTGCTATTCTCCCACTGCATAAATCACTAGAAGCCAGCGGAGCTGCTAACTGAATGCAGTATTCTCACAGTTCCTACAGAATGAATACAACCACTCATGTTGGCATCCACGGAATAGGAGTCTCAACAACCAGTTGTCCTCTCCCATCTGCTCTGCTTGAGGTCCTAGGTAACTGTGAAGAAGTCAGAGTTTTGCTCTGGAACCTAAACAGATATAGCCATGGAAGGCTGGTCTCTCTTTCAGACCTCTTAACTGCACCTGATAGGAGACATTCTTCATTTGTTAACAACCAGATTCCAGGAATATGCAGACTTCTTGAGCCAAACCTGATGAGAAACCAGAATGCAGTCACTGGCAGCAGCTGGCTGGGCCCAACAAAAAGGAAATCCACTTGGGGGCCTAACAGCCCAGAGCTACATGAGACAGAGGGGAGTGTGAAGGACCTGTAGTGTGGTTTGTCCCTTTAGTGCATCCCCCCCTGCACCCTTTGGCCATCCTGAGGACTTGGGCCAGGACCCCAAGTCTGTAACCCAGGATCACTCACCTGGTTAGCAGGAGGTGATGTCAGGCCACACCAAGAAAGGTTAAACAGAGATCTGGGGAGAGAAGTAGGTACTACTCAATCCTTAGTCATCTCAGTCATTTTAGGAGACACAGTCTTGGCCCTTGAAAAAAGCAGAGGCCAACCAGGTAGGGGAATAGGAATCAGGATGTAGGGAATTTGACCTCCAAGGACTGTCTCCACCAGCACTGTCTCCTTCGGGAAGAGAGAGATGTGAATATTTTTGTTGAGAGTATGATGACCCAGAACCCAGATGGTGTGGGACACCAGATTGAGTTCTTTTCCTTTAGAATGTTCCCTCCCCAGCTCTGTGGTTTCAGTCTTTGGGCCCCTCAAAGCTATTCATGGAGTGGGTGGATAGATTAGGGATGAGGGAGAGCACGAGAGAAAAACTGTACAAGAGTGGGTGAAAACACCTTGGTGGGCAGATGCGTGCTTTAGGAGAGAGGAGAGATAGGTGTGCATGTAGTCCTGTGAATGGACAGGGCAGTTAGGTGGGGGGTCAGGAAAGTGGGGTGATGCCTGAGCTCTCCACCCCTTAAGTCTGGAGGTAGAACAGACTGCTCTTGTCTTTCCTGATCCCAACCTGTCTGGAGTTAGTCTTCATTCCAGGAGCTGCCACTGGCCCCACAATGGGCAAGAGGGGAAGGAGGACAGACTCTCAGGATGGCCTGGGTGGGGGAAGATCTAGCACGGTTCCAAAAGACTCTACCCCTGAGCATCAGAGGGCCAAAGCCCTATGTGCAGTCCTGTGAGGAAATCCCTTCTTGAGACTCTTCAACTATCTTAGGCCGGAGCTCAGAAATGTGTTCTGCAGGGTGCCTGGTTTGCCTCCGGGTGCAGAAGCACAGATTGGTCACTCTCCAGTGGAGTAGCCTGCAGAATCCTCCGTATCCCGCACTGCCTGCTTGCTAGTTGCCTGCTCCAAGCTGATGAGCAATGGAGATCTCAGGAACAGTGGATAGGTTCAGAGAAAGCCTGCCGCAAGGGGCCTAGAGGGACTTCTTCACGCCCAAAGCTGGGCACATAAAGAGAGGCTTTCTTTAGATTGCAACATTGCCCTTGCCAGACTAAATCAGGAGCTGCCCAAGGCCCACTCTGACCCAGTAAGAACAGCGGCTCTTTCCTGAAGTAGCGGGACCCAGATGGGCCGCTGCGCTGGTGGCCGTGGGAGACATACAGGAAGGACTCCGCCTGCCTAGAGAGAGCCGGGAGATTGGCGCTTCTTTCTGATGTCCCGCAGTGCTCAGTGCCTGGCCGGTCGCGGTGCAACCGGCTGTCTGGGCAGGAATAGCCCGCGTGATATTGAGGCTAACACCAATTTCTATGATCCGAGGGAGTCTTTGGGGACCTTAAGGCTGGGTAACGCTAGTCCTTCTGTCCCCTTGGGCAGACGGTCCGTGCATAAGACAGAGGCCTGGAGGCACAGCAGGCAACGAAGCCATCCACACCTGCCTCTGCTAGCCCTCCTGGCTCCAAGGACCCGGTTTCTGCCGACCCAGCCCCGACACACCCACACTCGAGCTTCAGGGGTTTGCTCCCAGGAATGCCATCTCCGTTTTGGCCTGGCAGGGAGCCGGACTTGAAGAACCCCCATGGGAACGCCAGGATCCAGAGCGGCAGTCACAGACCTTTCGGAGCTGCCCCACCCTCACCCCAGTCCTCTACCTCCAGGGCCTTTCCAAGTCGAGTCATCTGTCCTGCTAGGCGCTCTCCCTCACTCCAAAGCTATTGTTGGCTGAATCTGAGAAGAAGCTTTCTCTGGGCCCTGGAGACCTGTGCCATGTGACATCTTGGTCATAACTGTCATTC